TGTAGCAGGCACAAATGTTCCACTATGGCAGAGAATGAGCAGACAGGCAGCTGCCCAGTGCAGCTGAGAGTCTATTTAGAGAAGCCCAATAATAAACAAGCTCATAGATTAGACTACAGTGAAAAAGAAATCATAGCAAGATAGAAAGTAAGGGGTGAGGGCTGGGGAATGTAGCTCAGCAGCACAGTGCCTGCCTGGCAAGTGCAAGGTCCTCGGTTCAACTCCTGGTACAAAAAAAAACCTGTAACGACAGAGTGTATGGGGAGAATACTTTTAAAGGGACTCTGTGAAGAAATGATGCTTAAGCAGGGGCCTGAGGGATGAGCAGGAGCCAGCAATGGGAGGAAGATCTGGGGAAACAGCTGGCAGCAGTGACAGCCAACATAGAGATCTCAGGGCTGGGGTGAGTAGAGGGCACTCGAGCAGCAGGGGCAAGGCGTCTGGGACTGGAGTGGAGTGAATGCGGACAGCGAGGTGTAGATGTGAGAAGGGCAGGTCAGAGCAGAAGGTCTGCCCTGCAGATGAAATCCTATTCACCGCCTTCAGTGTCCCTTTCGGTGTCAAGTTTTCATTTCATCCACTGGTACTAGTGCTTCCACTAACTACAGCAGGGACTGCAGTAAGCCCTTTGACCACATTATCTCACTTCATGCACCAAAGAGGCCTAGTAGGAGGGCGCAGTGTGAAAGTGACATTGCTTGTTCGATTGCGGTAACCAGCTCAGCCATTCTTGGGAAATGGCATTGTCTCTGTGAATGAGACAAAGGCTCAGGAGCCTGCATGGTGCAGCCCACATCATAGAAGGTGATCCGAGAGTCCTGGGTGTAAAGCTGGGTTCTCTGGCTACAGTCCCCACTGGAAGCAGACTGGCTGGTGTGCAGCAGCTATGGCCCACAGGCGACTATGGTTAGACATGAGAAAAAGCGCAAATGCAATTCCCTGCAGACTCCTCCAGGGTCAGCGTGGAAGGGAAAGGGACACCAAATAGCTCCTTTCTGCTCATGACCTTAATTGCTATAGTCGACTTGAACAGTGATTACTGTACCACTGCTCCAACTGTATGCCCCACCTGGGTTAGGGGGGATCCACAGTTTAGCTTCATATGGCTAAGAGGAGCATAAGTTGAAATCTCCTGCCTTGGCTCAGGGAAAGGTAGATCTCTTTTGCAAATTCCTCTGCCTGCAAGAAATGCCAGTTTCTTATTAACAAGAAAAAGAAATATGTGCTGACAGAAGAAGGGGATATGAAGAAATACCAAGCACCTGCTTGCTTGGAACTTACATTGTAGAGGAAAAGCAAAGAGGAGACTGAGGGAAGATCAAGCAGATGGAAAAGAGGAGGCCGCTTGTGATCCGGGGTCAAGATAGTTCTCTCTGAGACAAGACCTCTGATGTGGTTCCTGAGAGAATGCAGAGAGCCAGGCAAAGGGCAAGAATTTCTGTATAGAGCACATTGAATTTAGCACACCTCCACTTGGTGTTGTTGAGGAATAGAGCAAGGCCAGTGTAACAGGAGGAAGCGAAGGTAAAAGCTAGAAGTCAGGCCTGACCATGCAGGCCTTTCCTGGGTTATGCTAATGTCCTGGGAAGCCATAGATGAGTGAGGGCAGGGCAGTGAGCCTTGGTCCACAGAAGGACCCTTGCAGTTGCTGCCTTTGCCAGCAGGTGCTCAGGGCTGTGGAGGCACAGGAAAGGATTCTGCAGCGCAGTCTACCTACACGAACACTGTACAGCTACTGCTGCCGCATTGCAAATGTGGGCTATTCATAGCAAAGTCATCCACAGTGCTGGAAAGGTAGGAACAACCCAAATGTCCATGAATGGATAAGCAGAATGTGGTATATTCATTTAATGGAATATCACACAGTTTTTTTTTTAATGTTTATTCATCACAGGGTCTCACTATACAGCTTAGACTCTTAGTAATCCTCCTGTCTCAGCCTCACCAGTGCTGGGATTACAGGCACACCAGTTTCAGTGGCAGGCATGGCGTGCCTGGGATTATGGGACCAGCATGGTAGTGATCCTCCTGTTTTCAGTCTCCCAAGTGCTAGTATTATAGGTACATGCCACCACACCCAGTCTCAGTCATCATCTCAGTACACCCCAGGCTGGGGCCAGCATAGCAAGTGGGGATCCAACTCTGGCCCCTGCATCTGCCTAAGCAGATGCTTTAATCTGCTGGGGTATCTGGCTGGCCTTAGGGTACGGGGATTGGACCCAGGTTCTTGTGCTTGCCAGGCAGGCACTTAGATGGCTGAGCTATCTCCCCAGGCCTATATCATACAATCTTAAAAGGGAATGGCATTCTGATACATGCTACAACACGGATGAATCCTTAAAATAGCTTAAGTGAAATAAACCAGGTACAAAAGGGCGAACATATGATTCCATTTATGAGGTACCTGGCATAGGTCACATGCAGAAACAGTAACCGTGGAGGGGAGGAATGGGGGCTTAGCATTAGTGGATATGGGTTACAGCTTGGGATGAGGAGAAAGCTGTGGAGGTCAACAGTGGCGGTGTTTGCAAGGATGTAAATAAGTAATGCCATGGAACCACACACTTAAAAATAGTTAAGATGTTAAGTTTTATGTATATTTTATTTTATTATTTTTTTTAATTTTATTTATCTATGTGTGTGTGTGTGTGTGTGTGTGTGGCCAGCTCAGCCCACCAGGGGGCGGGGCTGGCTGGCATGTGGTGCTGGGGGATTGAACCGCGGTCCCTGTGCTTTGCTAAGCTTGTTCTAAGTAGGTGCTTTAGACCACTGAGCCATCTCACCAGCCCCTTATGTATATTTTAGTACAATAATTTTTTTAAGGCACAAGGCTAGAATCTAAAAATTAAAAGAATGGAATTCTAGGCAAAAGTAACAAGTGCTCAGTCCCTGACCCAGGAACGTGCCTGATGTCCTGAAAGGCAGGGCTTTGGCTAACGTGGCTGGTGCACAACCAGGAGAGTAAAGGTGGAGGCGGATCGTATGGGTCAGTGCAGAATCCTGCAGTGCTCTCTCAGAACTCGGGGGTTAGGTCAGGAGGCTCTGGAGGGAGCTGAATAAGCGCTGGGACTTGAGGCATTAGGCAAACTTGGGCCAGAAATCCAAGGCAAGCAAGCCCTGAAGGAGTCTCAGCGGATCTTGGGGAGGCGGTGGCAAGTCAACAAGACATATAGGATGAAAAACCCTCGCAGATTTAGAGGAAGAAGAGACGGAATGCTGCCGGGGAAGGACCTGCGGGGGCCAACATGAAGGAAAACCGGTGTCAGCCATGGGACTGACATAGGCCAGGGCGGCCAGGGCACAGTCTGCTCAGCCCAGCTCCCGACCTGGGCTCTGCTGGAAGGCTTACAACCGATGTCCGTTCCCAAAACGGAACGCCCACTGCCCTGCCTGGGGCTGGAAGAACTGGAAGCAGAAGTCCTCAGCTCGCCGGCCTCGGCTGGGCGCGACTCCCCACGGAGGTCTGCACCTGGGCCAGGCTGGAGAAGCAGAGAATAAGGAGGGCGCTTGCGGGGGTGGCAGAGAGGAAGGCATCGAAGAGGATGCTTCGGGTCGCCGTGCAACAGGGAGGAAGCTGACAAGTGGGCAGCCATCGCCTTGCCCAGGACAGTAGCCCACCCGGCGCCCGGGCACCCCGACTTTACAAGCAGTACTTAGCCTGGCGGACCACGCCCCTAATGTTTCAGCTCCCAGCTGTCAGGGCTGGATCGACATTCACTGCCTCGCAGAGCTGGGCACCTAGTCGTGTCTGGCTCAGTGGCTGCATGGGAGACAGAAAAACTCCAGACGCCGTGGGAACGGCTCCGAGAGCTGTGCCCGGAGGCAAATGTGGGACTGAAAGACGTTCGGACTCACGGAGGCAGGGCTTGCCCGACAATAGGTCCCGCAGAGGGGTTCCGGTCACCTCCCCGCAGGTTTGCAGGGACAGCAGACAGGTGGCCCTCTACAGTTTACAAAGGGCGTTCACACCTAATGTTCAAGATCTCGGAGAGGAAGAAAACCGGGCACTGCCAATGGAACAGCGCGCGGGAAGCACAGCTGTAGCCCCATTTTCCGGCTGAGAACATAGGGGTCAAAGCGGGTCTGCAGGTCACCGGCTGAGCCGAGTGGGAATCCACAGCTCTGGGGCTGCAGCGCGGAGCTCCTGGCCAGGCTCTCGCACTATCTACATATCCCCGGGAGGTCAAAAACTCCCAGCACTAGTCCGCGTAGGAGGTGGCCCTGCCCGACGCAGGGGTCCCCGGGCACCCCGGCTTGCGCGCACTCGCTCCCAGCCACCGGCGCGCAGCCCGCACCAGTTAGCACCCAACTCCCCAACTCCGGGACTTTCGCAAAGCTCCCGCGGGCGGGGGCTCCTCGGAGGAGCGGGACGCACCATCTCAGCTCGAGAGGGGGAGGCGCTATGGCACAGAATACCAGGACTCCCCAGTGGACGAGGACGCCCCACAGGAAGACCCAAGCCAGTGGCGCCCGGGGTCTGGCCGCGGTTTCCGGGAAGGGCGGCGCTGGGCGCGTAGCGGGGCAGGCCGAGAGGCCGCAGTGAAGGCAGAGTCCCCCCCGCGGCGGCGGCGCGGTGGCGGCGCCTGGCTCCCT